TCTTCAAGGTCAAGGTCTTCATCATCTTCATCGTCAGAAAGGACAGCCAACGGCTGCACCTGTCTCCGCGGTAACGGCTTTACATACACATCGTTTATTTTCAGCTGTACCGATGCATACTCATCACCTAGATAGATGCTGTCTACAACGATAGTCATCTTGACTTGACAGTATTGGTCTAGGAAATCTAGCGGGTCCACTTTTGCTTCCTCTCGCGAGTGGAAGAGGGTACGTATCTTCTGTGACTTTTCACTGTACATAAGCTTTGGGTACAGTATCGGTGCTTTACCCTCCTTCTCTGCCATGGGGAACTTCATGCTCTCTGCCACGTCTGTGCCATAGACCTCATCTAGGTGCTCATAGCAAATATGCTTCAACTCCTTAAGAGCGCAGTAAAAGTTAAACTCTTTTCGTGTTGGCTCATCCTCAGGGTTCCACAGAGGTAGAGGGATATAGTATCCCGAGATTTCCCCATCCTTCAAGTTCTGTTGCACGCCGAACGAGAAGTGGAAAGGAGAAGCCACCACCAACGGCCCAGCCTTATTCTCACCAAGCCCATGTTTGGCCTTGATGTTGATACGCTGGTGACCATGTTGGTTAGTGGTCGCTTCTTCGAATATAACATTATACTTGGTAATACCTTTGAGACTTGTGAGTTGCATGTTTGTTAACTTGTAATGTACTTTGCTTTAGTTGCTTTGCAACTACCCAAGAGAAAAAAAATCCAAAAAAAGTAAAAGCGAGGGTTACACTTATCTTTTCAAATAAGTGAGTCACCTCGCTTTTTGCATTGTAAGCACTTATTTTCTGAGATAAGTGCTACCCTCGCTAGCTAGATCTGTAAAAAAATTAACATACATTTTCATATATACTTGTAAAGGTTGAAAGCTGAACACAAAGTATGGTTAACATACCAAAAATGACTACTGCTAGTACTATTCGAAAAAAGAGGGTTCCTGGCGTTAACTTTCTCGATGAGGACTATAGAATGTTGATAGCGGGCTCGAGCGGTGTTGGCAAGACGAACTTGCTGTGCTATATGTTGAGGGCACCGCTTGTACCGTATGACGAGATCTATATCTATAGCCCCAACTTCCACCAAGACTTGATACAAGACCTTGCAAAGATCATGCATTGGCATTCACAAAAACTAGGTTATCAGATTTTGCATCTGATGGATCCTACCCAGATTCTCGACACAACTGAGTACCCAAGCGAGGGGCGAAAGGTTGTGATTTTTGACGATTTGATCACAGCCTCGAAAGAGACGCAAAGCAAAATCCTCAAACACTTTATTGATGGGCGACATCATCAAATCAGTCCGGTGTATCTCTCCCAGTCGTATCACAAGACACCTATCGATATCAGGCTTAATTGCTCTCACATGATCATATATATACCACCAACACAGCGACATCGAAAACTCATCGCCGATCAGAACTGCTTCGATGTTAGCGCGTTTTCAGCGCTGAGACCCTACGATTTCTTGTTTTATGACAAGACTAAGAGCACCGTTTGCAAAAATTTTGATGAGCCGATTTTTTTTTGATGAAAAAATATAATACATAGTACTAAGTACAGATCAAAGATCTACTCGAAAATGAAAACTTACTGCGTGAAGCAAAAGAAGAAGACTGATAGCGTGCCGGGAAGTGAGCGGCATGGGGTTGCTAAGAATGGCCGACCGATGATAAAATCGAAGTGCGCTGAGTGTGGTATCACCAAAGTTTCCTTTGTGTCAGGAGGAAAAAAAAAGGCGGGACGCTCTTTGAGGATGTAGGGCGAACCAGCACCTCTTTGGGAGAGATGGCCTTCAAGGGGCTTGCGAACATGGCGCAGCAGGGGCTTGCGAACGCTGTCAAATCTGACTATGCGAAGAGCAAGTTCAAAAAGACGGCAAACAAGTATCTCGATGAAGCTCTCGATTCTTTTGTCAACGATATGAGTAGAAAGATTAGTGGAGGGGCATCTTCGATGTACAACGCTTATGATGTGAACCAAGTGTTGCCAATGTCGATGTATGCACCTGATGGGGTGAATGACCCGACGAATCCTCTATACGAAGGAGGAGCCTTTGATTTGCATAAGGCGATTGGAAAGCTGCCAAAGCCGAAAAGCGGTTGGACGCTGCCAGGTCACAAATATACTGGACCCTACAACGACCTCGATAGTCAGCTACGCTTTGACCCCAAGACTGGTCAGATTCTTGAGATCTATGACCCACCGACGGGGTCGACTGATGCGATCGCGATGCAACACGACGTCGATTACGCCGTTTGTGCAAACAAAGCAAACTCAAAGAAGTGTAAAAATGTGGCAGATCGTAAGATGGTTACAGATCTAGATGCTGTACCACCCTCACAGAGACAGTGGGGTCATTGGATTGCGAGAAACGCCATCAACACCAAACAGAAGCTTCGATTAGGCCTGGGTGGTAAAAAAAAAGACCCCCAGGGGTCGCAAGACAAGGTCTTGATGAGTCTTGCAGATGAGCTGCATAAACCAATCAGACGAAACTTCCCCAAACGACGTGTTATTGTAAACGGTATCGATGAGATTTGGTGCTCCGACTTGGTTGAGATGCAAAAGTTTGCAAAGTGGAACAAGGGCTATAGATATTTGTTGATGGTGTTGGACATTTTCAGCAAGTATGGCTGGATCGTTCCTCTAAAGAATAAAAAGGGTGAGAGTGTGGCGGAGGGGTTCAAACAGATATTCTCCGAAGGGAGAAAGCCTAAGAAGATGTGGACTGATAAAGGTAAGGAGTACTACAATAGTCATGTCAAAGAACTATTCAAAGCGGAGGGTATTGAGCTGTACTCGACAGAGAATGAAGAGAAATCGTCTGTGTGTGAGATGGAACCGTACGATCAAGACAAAAATGTGGAAGCAGTTTACCATCCAAAACAACACATTTTATACCGAGGGCCTTCTCCCCAAGATTCTCAAGGAGTACAGCAACACAAAACATAGATCGATTGGTATGACGCCTGTAGAGGCCTCCAAGAAGAAGAATGAAAATGCTGTCTATTTGAAACTGTATGGCGAACAGCTCAACGCTGTAAACGACGGTTGGGGTAAGTCAAATTTTACCGTCGGCGATCAAGTGCGAATCTCCAAATTCAAGCGACAGCTGTTCGACAAGGGTTACACGCCGAATTGGTCTGAAGAAATTTTTGTTGTTGATGAGGTACAATACACCAAGCCCATCACTTACAAGTTGAAGGATCTACTCGGTGAAGAGATTAAAGGCTCTTTCTACGAGGAAGAGCTGTTGAAGGCAAAGCAAAGCCTTTCAGGCCTTTTCCGCATTGAGAAGGTTATACGAAGGAAAAAAGGGCAAGCTCTAGTGAAGTGGAGCGGCTACCCAGAAAAATTCAACTCGTGGGTTGATGAGAAAGATCTTCAGAAGTTATAAAAAAAATGAAAAGAAAATGTCTTAAAGAAATGTTTAAGATAGAAAAAAGATGGATGAACTTGAAACATATTCAAGGCCTGCACTTTTGGCGAAAGGAAAAGAGATGGGTCTGAAAGGTCTTTCCAAACTCAAGAAAAAAGAACTGATTGAGCTTATCAGAAATGCTTTTCAAACCAGTGTGAAAAGATACACCGGTTGGAAAAGAAAGGTGATATTAACACCTATTCAGCATTCATCACCTGAACATATTGATCACCCCAAAGAGCTCTTCTTCCCATCAATATATAAGGCTTCAAAACATTTCAACGTGAGTACTTCAAGGTTTGGTTCAAAGGTCTCTTTAGTAAGCCAAGGATATGTAGACAGCACAAGCATTATGCTTGATGGAATACATTACAATCTGAGATTTGAGAGTTATAGGTTGATAAAGGATCTACCGCAAGCGGTAACGCCATCAAAGTCAAAGGATTGACCTGACGGATGACGGGTTTTCTTCACTTGAATCGAGTGAAGAAAAACTTCTTAAAGAAATATTGAGAAAGAAAATAGAAAAAAGAGTTTTTCGAGTTCAAAACTATATTTACAGAATACATATCAGCATAATGGAAAAAAACACTGTTGTGCAGCTGCGGAAAATCGCAAAGGAGAGTGGCCTTCACGGCTATGCAAACCTTCGAAAAGATGAGCTTATCAAGCGCATCAAGCTTGTTCAGTCGAAACCAAAAAGCCCTGCCCTGCCCACAATTACACAAAAGAAGACAAAGGAGGCTCCTAGCGCTGCAAGCAGTGCTCCTACCACAATTACAAAATTCCGTGAGATAAACAAAGGCCTTCGCAAAAGCGACTATGAGAAGCGACTAATCGAGTTTTTACGGTCAAGAAGAGCAGGTACCACAGGTACTACCAAAGGTACCACCAAAGGTACTACCACAGGTACTACCACAGGTACTAAGAAAGCGGCTGTAAAGAGAGCGAGAGCCTCTCGAGAGCCTCTCTTCAAAGCTGTTGAGAAAATGTCTTCACTGAAACAGTTTGCAAAGATGTATACAATTGATGGAGGGCCAATATCTTTGTGGCCGAGAGATTATCTTGAGTTTGTAAAACCCGCCGCTATTGACTTTTTGAATATGCTAAAAAGTAACAAGATAAAGTTTATTTTTAGGTGTGTGATGGTAAAGAGAGTTGAGGATGAGTTTGTGTTTATGATTGCACATCTTTCAACTTCACAAAAGATCGTCTTTCAACAGACCGATCGAGAAGAACTTTATGAAGAATGTGTGGAGAAAATGATGGAGAGTTTGGCTGAGTTCAAGCGAAGGGGGAGTGGGTGGAAATTCTATCAGGTTGATGGTTTGGATCTACATACGGTGAAATACACCCCTCTGAAAGGTTCTTCTTACATTAAGTTGCCAAAACATCTTGCAGATAAAAAAGCCATCATAAACATGGAGAACGATGATGAAGAATGTTTTAAGTGGTGTGTTAGAGAGCTTTGAATCCTGTTCAAAGTAATCCTACTCGTATCACTAAGATTTTGAAAAAACAGGCAGTAAAACTCGTGTGGGGTGACATTAAGTTTCCAATGGAGGTAAAGAGCATTCATCGCTTTGAAAAGTTGAATCCAGAGATTGGGGTCAACGTTTACATGTATGAAAATGGGCTCAATCCCTTGAGAGTGACCAGCCAAGACCGTGACTGTAAGCATATTGATCTTCTTCTCATTGAAGATGGTGATAAAAAACATTGTATCATCAAAAATTTGAGTCGACTTGTATCGAGTGAGTTGTCAAAGAGAAAAAACAAGAAGTTTATATGTAGGAGGTGTCTTAATTATTTCGGTTCTCAGCGACTTCTTGACACTCATGATGTGCTGTGCCGATTTCATGAGGCTGTGAGAGAAAAGATGCCGAAAGAGGATACTTTCCTCTCTTTCAAAAACCATCACAAAAAGATAGACATGCCGTTTGTCGTCTATGCCGATTTTGAATCAATCATTAAACTATTGCACTCAGCTCAACCTAATCCTGAAGAGTCGTACACAGAGAAGAAGTCTCAGCATATTCCGGTAAGTTTTTCCTACTATCTCAAGTGCACATTTGACGATAGATACTCGAAACTGCTTGAATACACAGCAAAGTCTGAAGATGAAGATGTGGCGCAAACATTCGTTGAATCGCTTGAAGAGGAGGTTAAGTCTATTTACGAAGATCATCCTCCTAAAAAGATGATCTTCACAAAGAGTGATGCTGTCGAATTTGAAAATGCGACGTGTTGTTGGTTATGTGGAAAAGATTTTGAAGAGGGGGATAAAGTTCGCGATCATTGTCATTACACCGGCAAATTTCGAGGAGCTGCACATAACAGCTGCAACCTGAAATTCCAACGGCCAAAATTCACACCTGTCGTGTTGCACAACTTGGCAAACTATGACGCTCATCTCTTCGTTAGAAATCTTGGTGTTTTAGGAGGAGACATTGATTGCATACCAAACAACGAAGGGAAATATATTAGCTTCACAAAACACGTTGTGGTTGACAAGTTTTTCGAAGAAGATAACAAACTCGTTGAGGTAAAGAGAGAGTTGAGGTTTATTGACAGCTTTAAATTCATGGCTTCCAGTCTTGACGAGCTTGTCAACAACCTCGCCAAAAAGGGTAAGCCTTTCTTCCAAAATACAAGAAAATATTATTCTGGAGAAAAGCTTAATCTGTTGATGAGAAAGGGTGTTTATCCTTATGAATGGATGGACTCTATACACAAGCTTGATGAGCCGCAACTTCCGCCAAAAGAAGCTTTCTTCTCCGTGTTAAGTGGTAAAGGTATCTCAGATGAAGACTATACCCATGCTCAAAATGTCTGGAAAGTCTTTGGATGTAAGACATTCAGAGATTACCACAATCTCTACAATCGAAGCGACGTTCTTTTACTAGCCGATGTGTTTGAAAACTTTCGAAAACTTTGCAAAAAGAACTACGATCTCGATCCTTGCTGGTACTTCACAGCACCGGGTTTGGCTTGGGATGCTTGCCTCAAGTTGACTAAAATAAAACTTGAGTTGTTGAGTGATATAGATATGTTGCACATGTTTGAGGCCGGTATTCGCTGTGGGATTTCAATGATCTCGACAAGGCATGCAAAAGCCAACAACAAATACATGGGAGAAAGGTTTGACCCTAGCCAACCTTCAAAGTTCATCACGTATCTCGATGCAAACAACCTTTACGGTTGGGTGATGAGTAAGAGTCTACCGACGAGAGGGTTTAAATGGGAATATGAGAAAGACTTTGGAAAATGGAAGAATTTCCCCTGCATTCTCGAAGTCGACCTGAAAGGTGTCAAAGAAGAGCTTCACGATCACTTCAAGGACTACCCACCCGCTCCTGAGAATCTGTTGATTGGGAAAGTACATAAGCTGGTCTGTACGTTAAACGAAAAGAAGAAGTACATCGTTCATCATGAGACATTGAAGCATTACATGAGTCTTGGAATCGAGATCGGAAAGATTCATCGCGTCATCAGGTTCAAAGAGAGACCTTGGATGAAGAAGTACATCAATTTAAACACAAAATTGAGAGCAAAGGCTAACAACGACTTTGAGAAAGACTTTTACAAGCTGATGAACAACGCTGTCTTTGGTAAAACCATGGAGAACATTCAAAAACGCGTTGACGTAAGACTTGTCACCTCAGATGAGAAGGCAAAGAAGTTGACAAATAAGGTCAACTTCAAACACTGCACCATCTTCTCTAAGGATCTCAGCGCAATACATATGGGAAAGACGCAGATTCTCTTCAAAAAGCCTCTCTATCTCGGGATGAGCATCCTCGATATCAGTAAGATATTAATGTACGACTTTCACTACAACTACATCAAACCTAAGTACCCAGAGGGTAGATCAAAGCTTCTTTTCACGGACACAGACAGTCTTTGCTATGAGATTGAGACTTAAGATTTTTTCAAAGATATAATGGATGATGTAGACCGTTTGTTTGACACAAGCAACATTTCGGAGGGGCACTTGTCTGGGATACCGACAGGTGTGAACAAGAAGGTGATTGGAAAGTTTAAAGATGAAGCAAAAGGAAAAATCATTGAGGAGTTTGTTGGTCTGAGGGCTAAGCTGTACAGCTACAAGATGTTTGATGATGGGGAAGAAAAGAAGAAGTGTAAGGGAATGAAGGAAGGAGTGGTAGATCGCACGATCAGCTTCGATGACTACAAAAAATGTTTGTTTAGTGGTGAAAATCAACTTCGAAAAATGAACACACTTCGGAGCCAAAAACATGAGATGTACATGGAAGAGATCAATAAAGTCGCGCTATCCGCTAACGATGACAAGCGAATCATTCTTCCACACAAAATACACACACATGCGATAGGGCATCACGCAACACAAGTACGTTGATGGCGGGCCAAGGTCGAGCCCAATGCGGCTTTGCCGCATTGGGTCTCCCAAGACCTAGAGGCCGGTTAAGTACACTTTGAGAAAAAATTAACACGCAACACACTTAAAGAAAACATGTTTTAACGAGGATTCACGATATTTTAACGCGAATATGGACAAAAACAGAGACAAGAATTCATGAAAGTGCCAAAAATATAGTGAATTCACGATTATTTGACGTGAAAGCGCCGAATCGGATCCCCGCCGGCGTCAAATTAATGTGAATTCACTATAAAATAACGTGAATATTACAAACATCCTTAAAGGAATTACCGAAAGTGCCAAATTATAGAGAATTTACGATAATTTGACGAGAATATTACAAACATCCTTAAAGGAAGCCTGGAAAGTGCCAAATTAACATGAAACCTCGATAATTCAACGTAGCTTCAGGAAACTGAGCCAGAAGCCGTCAATGTACAACTACTGATGAGGAGATCGAGAGTTGGGTTGGGCCATCGTACCCCTCTAGCGAGCAGCCCTCTCCTCCTAGAAGGCCTCTCCCGTCACCACATCTTCCTGGCCGAAAATCAGGTAAACGGCCAGTGCAGGTGACAATTGAGTCCTCGTCAGGCTCCAGTCCGCCGCCCAAGAGGGCAAGAGAGACAAGTCCAACAACAGTTAAGAGTGGGCCCCGAGTGCCTTCCGAACTTGTGCCTCCTACGCCCCCTCGCGCAGCAAGACCATCTGTGGCGCCTGCGACAGCTGCAGAGGACGACTCGGAAGAGCCGAAAGAGTGGGAAGAGTCGGAAGAGTCGGACTCTGAGTCTGAGGGGTTCTACCACAAACAGGAGGCCTTCTTTTTGGAGGAGAACCCACAATCTGCTAGGCATAGATGGCTGGTGGGCTTCTTCAAATACCTTGGTACACCAGCGGCAGGGTACCACCAGCATCTCTNGTATCACTGACCCGTTCTGTTGGAACGCGTCCAGGTGCGTTGGAGGCGGCGACCATTGGGCAGTGGAGGGCTGCCCGATGGGACGCCAACGAGAAAGCAAAAGTGATGTTAGTCACTAGTCACAAGAGAGAAGTGGACGGCCCTGCGCCGATTCCATGCGATCAGTGGATAACCCACGATTTGCAAGTGTTCCTAACCAAGCTAAAGCCACTGGTGTGCGGAGACTCCAGCGACTCCGGGAAGCTCTTCCTGAAGTCCGATGGCGCGCCTTATCAGAAGGGCACAATCGGCCGCAGGATAACAGCCTTCGTGCTGAAGTCTGGTGTGCGTACTGACCGCCCTATAAGCGCCACTGACTTCAGGAAGTGGCTCGTGACGGTAATGCGAACGAAGAAGCGGGCCGGGGTTGCCATCAACGAGGGTCTGCTGAGGAGGCTGATGTGCCACAGTTGCGATACGGCACAAACCTGGTAATTAACATAGGAATACATCCACTTATAAGCAGCTTTTTTAATCATGTCTTTCTCCCAGACATACGACACTTGTACTAGAGAATAATTACATTTATACTTTGTGTATCGCCTGTCCAACTCTAGGTACCTCAGGGAGGACCTCACTGAATTAGCGGCAGAGGCCTCTCAGCAGATCAGGGAGCAAACGCAAACCACTCCCGAGAGGACCAAGGCCGCACCTAAGGGAGACCAACCCGCCAGCCCCGACTCTGAGACTTCCAAGCAACAGTCTCTGACCTCAGAGGAGCTTGCAGCCGTGTCTGTCGTCTTTGCAGACGACATAAAGGCAAGAACATCGCCCTCTAAGAAACGAGTGGCGGATCAAATGAGGGGTGATGATGTATTGGCAAAGGTAGTCAATTCAGAGGGAAAGGTGAAGCGGATGGTGGACCGGGTGTGGTACTTGGTCAAATCACAGCAGCCTGCCGACCCCAGCAGTGACACAGAGGAGGATCCAAGCAAAAGGACAGTCGCGTTCGCAGAAAGCGTCAGTAAGGAGCAGTCGCAGTCTTCTGCCGCCTCAGTCTATTCCTCTGCCTCTGGAAGGCTAGCATGGACAAAGGAGGAGACAGAAATGATCAAAACCGCCTTAGCCCACCTTGACAATGTTCCTAGGAACACTGAGATAAGGAGTGTAATGTCGTCTGACATTCGCCTTGAGCAAATACTGCGGAGGGAATCTTTTGCGCGGCTCAGGGACAAAGTCAAGAACATTTTCAAGAACCGGAAATAAGGAGCGGGCAAGTGCCTTCCAGAGGCAAAGACATTATAAAAACAAAAAAAATTAAAAAAATCAGAAAAGGAATAAAAAAAAAAATTAAAAACAGAAAAAAACCAGAAAAAAAGAGTTGGTGTTCACTATTGTTTCCTGTTGTCTGATTCTGAGTGATTCGTTAGGGATTTAACGCGAGCTGGGGTAGCCAACCCCTGGGGAGTGCCCCATGAATCACTCAGTCTCGGACAACAGGTACGCGTTGGGTTTTTGAAAGTTTCAACGTTGAGTTGTGTTTTTTTTACGTTGCGTCGTTTCTTCCCTTGTTTTTTTAACTCCGCCATGGCCGGTCCCAAGCCCGGACGAGAAAGGAGGAGGGTTAGGCCTTGGTCTTGTATACCAAGCCTGTAGAAAACACTTGAGCCAGGGAAAAACATATTTATTTAAAGCTCTAATAAGCGAGTTACTAGAAGCTCTATAGGCGCTCTATAGTAACTAGAGGTCCTCGACCTCTAGTTACTAGAGGTCGAGGACCTCTTACTCATGTTTGATGTTCTTGCTCTTGCCAGGTGAGTCTTCAAACAAATAATGGCGGAACGCAGTANGAACCAATCACTCAGACAGCTACTCATTAACCCAGGCGGTCAACAGTCGATGAGTCAATACCTGGTACCTGACTGGCTAACCGAGTAGGGCAAATGACTGGTAGTTAACTGAATGAATGACTTATTGGTTGACTGCCTGACTGACTGACAGGTAGCTGACTGGCTCAAATAATTAGTAGACCGACTCACTGACTTATCACCGCCTGGGCTACTGGCTGGCTGTCTTGGTGACTGGTTGACTGACTAACTGGTACCTAACTGCCTGATTGACTAGCTGTCTGAATAACAGACAGGTTGACTGACTCACTGACAGGCTGATGACTAGTTGATCAGCTTTTTGACAGTCTGGTTGAATACCATACTGAACGATTGGTTGACCAGTGACTGACTCACTGTTACCTAAAAAGGTGAAAATAAGGTAGACTTCCTAACTAACCGATTTCTACCTAGACATCTGAAATGCTGCTTGACTGGCTGGTTGACTCACAAACTGGCTGACTGAGTGAATGGTCAATGACAGTACGTGGTGGCCTGACTGCCCTGTTGGTTGACTCATCGGTACGTAAAGAGCTAACTAGATGCTTGACTGACTGGTCTACTTACTGAATGGCTAGTTGACCAACTCACTGCTAAGTGACCGCCTGACTCATATTTTAATTGACTCACTGGTACCTGCAGGCTATCCGACTTGTCGGCAGACGTGCTGACCGACTGACGACGAGCTCACTTACTCGTGACTGACTGCTTAACTAACTGATTGACTGACTCACTCTCAGCTGACTAACTTAATTCTTGAATACTTGAACGATTCACTCACTGGTTGACTAGCTTGGTTGAAAAGTTATTTTAATTGACTCACTGGTACCTGCAGGCTATCCGACTTGTCGACAGACGTGCTGACTGACTGACGACGAGCTCACTTACTCGTGACTGACTGCTTAACTAACTGATTGACTGACTCACTCTCAGCTGACTAACTTAATTCTTGGTTACTTGAACGATTCACTCACTGGTTGACTAGCTTGGTTACCGACTGGTGTTTCACTGGCTACCTGAGTGCCTGACGGACTAGTCACCTGTTGACTGAGTGGTCGACTGACTCACTGGGACCTGTTCTGCTAAGTGGTTGACTGACTCATTAGCTCCTAAGCGAATGACTGACTCGCTCCCTAACTAATCAACTGACTGAATGAGTTCATGGTTACTTACTGACTGACTCAGTAACTGTTTCACTAAGTCATTGATACCTGAGCGTCTAGCTGACTCGTTAACTCATTTCTGACGGATTACTGACTGACTTTTTAACGGACCCCTAAGTCAAGGACCTACTGACTAATTGTCTGACTCACTGGTAGCTGACCGTCTGACTGGCTGGTTGATTAACTGGTTGACTGAGAGGTGAGCGACTACCCGACTGACTGCGGGAGTGACCCCTGGATTGGTGATCAGCTGACTGACTGCCTGACTGACTCAATGTTACCTGATTGGCCCCTATGAGTTTTTGCCTCTTTGTGACCGATTGGCTAATTGACTGGAGACTGACTTGTTGACTGACTGGTTGATTGAATTTCTGACGATTTGTTGAGTTACTGAGTTACTGACTGGTGATTACTGCCTTACTGAGTAACCGAGTGACTGACTAGTTGA